TTGCCTTGGCAAAGGAGAAAGATGCCCTGTCCAATTGAGAGGGGGAGTAAAGTATAAGAAGTATAATTGTGAGAATCAAATGAGATAACACATGTAAAGCAATTTGCAAACCTTAAAGCCCCATATAAATGCTAATTGTTATCAGACTGTGAGCTCCTCACCAACAGGAACCATGTCTCATATCCCTCAGCACAGTGCTGGACAGTGATACAGCAGGTGTTCAATGAATCTCTCTGGAGAGTTAACTATGTGTGGCCCTCCTGGGTCCTGGCACCATAGAAGGTACATGAGCAGGAAGGGAGGAGGGGTCCAGAGGAAGGAAGACATGCAGTTTCTGCCTTGGGATGGATCTGCTACTTTCAACCACATTCTGCACTCCAGGGATGGGGGGTGGGGGGGAATGAGGAAAGGTCCAAGGCTGGATCATCAAGCCCCAAAGAACCTTCTGAAATAGGGCTTTCGCAACTGCCCTTACCCAGACAGGCTGGGGGACCCCCTCCACAACCTTCCTGCAGAAGAAGCCTGGGTCCACCTTCCTCTTCTCCTCTCCCCAGCGGATCATGTCCTGCCGAAAGGCCTCTTTGTAGCTGCTGGCATCAAGGAGTCGCTGGAAGTCCAGTCCATGTTCCTGCTCAAAACAGGTCAAAAAGCATTCACTGTGTGACCCTTCCCCCCCTCCCCCAGAGGCCACTCTACCTCCTGGGGCTCAGCTATAATGAGGGGTGATCATTCCTGTCCCTCCCCACCCCTGGGAGGACACGCCCCTCCATTTCTGTCTGTCTGGAGAATACATTCTGAGAACTAAACATATACCTGGTGTGATCAATCTTCCCCAATTATTTTGGAAATAAGCTTCCCTCTCCTGAACACAGAACCAGGCCTCAGCAAAACATCAGAAAGGGAAAAGTTCACGTTTGGTGCCTTCCCTAATGTTGAAACACAACGTCCCCTACCCCAGCTCCTTCTTAAAATGCTGCTATTCTCCTAGGATTTTTTGGTTTTAACATGGGATGTCTGAAGACAGAAAGCCTTCCAAAGTAGTCTAATGACCTTATTTTATAAGTCAGGGCACTGAGGCTCAAAAAGGCTAAATGCTTTAGGATCAGAATTAAACAGGAGGGGCAGCTAGGTGTCACAGTGGATAGAGCTCTAGCCTTAGAGTCAGGAGGACCTGAGTTCAAATCCAGCCTCAGACACTTGACACATATTAGCTGCATCACCCTGGTCAAATCCCGACTGCCTCACCAAAAAGCAAAAACAAAACAAAAAAATTTTTGAACTCATGTCCTCGGCCTCCAGAATCAGGGCCCATTCTATCATATTACACTTGTGCATGGATGCACAGAAAGTAATCACCAAGATTCATATCAAGACTCTG